AACAACAAGTATTAGTACTTTATTCCTTTAGACCTGAATGTTATTTCATTGTATAGATATACCACATTTGCTTATCTAGGTATCAGTTATTAGAAATTTAGTCTGTTTCTATCTTTTGGCTCTTAGGAATAATGGTGCTCTAAACATTCATGCACAAGTTTCTATTTGGACATATGATCTCATTTTTCTTGATATATACTAATGAATGGAATTGCTGGATCATATGGTAACTCTACGTTGAATCACTGAAAAGTGCAGACTATTTCCAAAGCACCCATACCCTTTAACATTCCCACCAGCAGGGTACAATGGCTACCTGAGGTTCTATTTTACCCATCCTAGAGTGTTAAGTGGTGTCTCATTGTAATTGTGATTAGCATTTTCGATTATTATGTTGAGCACCTTTCATGTGCTAATTGGCCATTTTTCTGTCTTCCTTGGAAAAATGTATATTCAAATTTCTTCCCCCCCCCTTTTTTTTTTACTGAGTTGTCTTTTTTGTTTTTAAGATTTTATTTATTTATTCATGAGAGACATACACACAGAGAGAGAGAGAGAGAGAGAGAGAGAGAGGCAGAGACACAGGGAGGGAGGGAGAAGCAGGCTGCCTGCAAGAAGCCTGATGCGGGACTGGATCTTGGATCCCAGGTTCATGTCCTGGGGCAAAGGCAGATGACCAACCACTAAGCCACCCTTGAGTTGTCTTTTTATTATTTAGTTGAAAGCAATCTTTGTGTGTTATAGATACAAATCTCTAATCAGATATATGACTTGTAAATATTTTCACCTATCTGTAGGTGGGCTATCTGTAACGATTTCTTGATGGTATCCTTTGAACATAGAAGTTTTTCATTTTGAGGTGCTTGGCTGGCTCATTTGGTAGAGTATGGGACTCATCATCTCAGGGTCATGAGTTCAAGCCCCACAGTGAGTATGGAACCTACTTTAAAGAAAAAAAGTTTCTAAGTTTGATGGGGTCTCATTTGTCTATTTTTTTTTCATCGTTTGTGCTTTTGGTGCCATATCTAAGAATCCTTTGCCAAATCTAAAGTTATGAAGTTTTTCCCTAAGTTTTTTTCTTAGAGTTCTGTATTTTGTAGCTCTAACATTTTAGGTCTTTGATCCATTTGTTAATTTTTGTACATGCTGTGGGGTTATAGATCAACTACATTCCTTGGCATATGCCTATCTAATTGTCCCATTCCATTTGTTGAAAAAGATGATTCTTTTCTTACTGAATAGTTTTGGCACCCTTGTTGAAATCAGTTGACCATACAAATACGGATTTGTTTCTGGACTCTTAATTCCATTACACTGATTTATATGACTATTCTTATGATAGTACTATACTGTCTTTAACCATTATTTGATAATAACTTTTGCAATTGAGAAATATGAGACCTACTTTATTCCTTTTTAGGATGATTTTGGCTATTCTAAGTCCTCTGAAATTCCATAGCTGTTTTAGAATCAGCCTACAGATTTCTACAAAAATGTCAGCTGGAATTCTGATAGGGAGTGTGTTAGATCTGTAGATCAGTTTGGAGACTGATCATATTAATTCTGAACCTTCTGACCCATGAACGTGGGAAGTTTTTCCATTCATTTAGGTATTGAAAATTTCTTTCAACAATGTTTTGTAATTTTCAGAGTGTAAGTTTTACATTTTCCTTGTTAAAATTATTCCTAAGTATTTTATTCTTTTTGGTGCTACTATGAATGCAACTGTTTCCTTAACTTCATTTTCAGATTGTAACACAAGTTTTTTTTTTTTTAAAGATTTTATTTATTTATTCATGAGAGACACAGAAAGAGCCAGAGGCAGAGATACAGGCAGAGGGAGAAGCAGGCTCCATGCTGGGAGCCCTACGTGGGACTCGATCTCAGGTCTCCAGGATCAGGCCCTGGGCTGAAAGCAGCGCTAAACCGCTGAGCCACCCGAGCTGCCCGTAACACAAGTTTTTAATGTTTACCTTCCCACTAGAGAACTAGAGAGTAGTACTGGTAGGAATCAGTATCTCATTCATCTTAAAATTTCCACTGATATATGAAGTGGACTACAGCACTATCAGTCACCCAAAAACAGTGTAGAAGAAATGAATGAATGAATAAAATAATAAAAAACAGCTTCAATAACTAAATTTATAAGAAATATAGATTTTTCTCCCCAATTTGTTAAAAGGGAAATATTTGGATTTAAGAAATATTGATATGAGAGGTGTCTGGCTGGCTCAATTTGGACAGCATGCAACTTGTGATATCAATTCAGGGTTGTGAGTTTGAGCCCCATATTGGGGATACTGTTTACTTGAGAAAAACAAAAAAGAAATCTTGATGTGAAAAGTCAAAATTTTTTTTCTGATTAAGATCTAATTTTTATTTTGCTAAATGTTGGTAATTATTGAAGAGTAATGTTAACTTGAACAGCAGGAAGTTGCTATGGTAACCCTCAGAAAGCTCAAAAGCACAAGTCACTGACAATGTATGGGGGTATGCTGTCAATTACACTCCTCTTCCACTTGTGCAGAAGGGAATATAGCGCTACATCAGACTACCTTAAAATTTTTAGACACTTAAAACAGTGACTTTTTCTTAAAGGAAAATATGAACCTTTTCCTGTGCATTGAAGGAAAGCTCAAGGATTCATGTTTCACAAACTTCAAAGCCCTCAAAGTCTCAGCTTTAAGTCTCAGCTTTTTACAATATATTTAAATACAGTACCTTAAAATGGTATTTCTTGATCTCCTTGGCGATCTCCAAATTTCATTTAAATCTCATTATTTCTGTGAATGCATTTAAATGTAGAGTTTGCACAGACCCCCCTCGCTCAGATGAGCCCCATGTCATTTCTAGATCTAATATAAAAGACATGATATTTACCAGCTTTGAATGAATTTCAGAATAAAACTCTGTTATATATTCTAATATGCGGTTCTGGAATCCAATTCTCTTGGTTTAAATCATGGTTTCTCAAGTACTGAACAATGATCTAGTTTCTTAATTTTTTCTGTATGTCAGTTTTCCTATATATAAAATGGAGATCATAACATAGTTACATAAAATTTTATAAGAACTGTTAGATCCTGACTTTAAGTGTTTTATATTTGTTAGTAGCTATCATTATTGTTATTATTATGATTTCCTAGAGAAATAAAGGAAAACAAAATTCAAAATTGTTATGCAATAAATGTCATTTCAAATCATTGTTGTTTTAGTATATACATTTGGAAAAGATGGTTTCAGTGATTTAGTTTATTTTGGCTTTCACATTCCATTCACTGCAGCTGATTTTTCATTATATTATTTTTAGTATTGAGTTTGTTACAGAAATATATATAATACTGTGGAAAAATATATGATAATAAAACACAGCTTCAGTAATTAAATTGATAAGAAATGCAGATTTTTTTTCTCCCCAATTTGTTGAAAGGGAAATATTTGGATTTAAGAAATATGATATGAGAGGTGCCTGGCTGGCTCAATTTGGACAGCATGCAACTCATGATGTCAATTCAGGGCTGTGAGTTTCTCTATTACCTATACAATAATAATAATGATGGAAAACTGTCCCAAACTTGGCTCTTGAATATTTAAAAAAAAAAAAAAAACTGGGAAGGGCACCTAGGTGGCACAGCTGGTTGAGCATTCAACTCGATTTTGGCTTGGATCATGGTCTTAGGGTTATGAGGTTGAGCTCCGTGTTGGGCTCTGAGCTGGGCATGGAGCCTGCGTAGGATTCTCTCTCCCTCTTCCTTTCTCCTCCATGTCCCTCCTCCACACTCTCTCTCTCTTAAGGGAAAAAAATGAAATAAAAAAAGATAAAATGATTTTTTAAAAAAGTTTTATTTATTTAAGTAATCTCTACACACCAGGTGTAGAGACTAATGACCCTGAATCAAGAGTTGCATGCTCTTCCTTCCGATTGAGCCAGCCAGGCACCCCAGCCTCTTTATTACTCTTAAGAAAAGGAATTTTTGAGCTGTTAAGGAAAATCTTGTAAAGATCCCTCTTTTTATATCTGGGAGGACTGAGCTCCTTTCCTGAGATTCAAGCTTCAGAAGGTTTATACACAGAAACAAGGGAAGAAGGGGACTTGTCCTGTCCAGATCAGTATTTTTATTTTTTATTTTTTCCCTTCAAAATTTTGAACATGGAAAAGGATATAGAACATAAAATTTATCATTTTAACCATTTTTAAGTATACAGTTCAGTGATATTAAATACATTCATAATGTGCTACCATCACCACTAACAATTTCCAGATCTGTCTTCATTTTGTAGAACTAAAACTCTGTATCTGTTAAGAAATAAACTGCCATTTCCTTGTCCCCCTAGACAAGGAAACACCATGCTACTGTTGGTCTCTATGGCAAACACCATGCTACTGTTGGTCTCCATGATTTTTTACTCCTTTAAGTACCCCATGTAAATGGAGTCACTGTATTTGTCTTTTTGTGATTGACTTATTTCTTTTAGGATAATGTCCTCAAGATTCATCAGTGTTGATGCATATATCAGAATTTCTTTCCTTTTCAAGGTTGAATAATACTCCATTGTAATTTAGGCTACATCTTGCTTATCAATTTGTCTGATAATTGATACCTAGATTCCTTCCACATTTTAGCTATTATAAATAATGTTGTTATAAAAATAGGTTTACAAATATTCCTTCAAGATCTATGTCCAGATCAGCTCTATGATTAGTGAAAAGAAATCAGTAAAAATCAACCTCATGACACAATACTATATGTTTACAAGAAATCAAAGAAAAAATAATAACATTATTAAAAATGGACTTACCACATACTCACTGTATATTAAAACCATAAATACACAACAATTTAACAATCTAAAGTAAAAGACATTTTCCTCCCTAGCATTTCTGAAATCTGTTTTACTTAAGTGGCTTACGAAAATAATTTATTAGACTCAGACTCACAAAGCATTTATGTATTGCTCTTCATTATGTTGCACTTGTTAGGGGAAAAAAAGGTTCTTACTTGGATAAGATGTGTTGGCATTGTTATGATACAGGCTGAAAGAGAGGTTCGTAGAAGACCACGGAGAACATACAGGAACTTTGTAAGGCTGTGGCTGTTGTCACAGTTTTCTGTACAGCAAATGTCATCTCCCCATAAAGGTGAACCAAGATTCTGGATTCCTATTCTTAAAATGTTTTTCTGTTTCTTCTAAAGGAAAGTGGGAAGGAGGCAAACATATTAGCTTCGGTTAACCAACAGGATACCTCTTTCACTTCTCTTTGCCAGTTTTTAAATTTATAAAAGATTAGGAAGATAATGTCAGTAGAGGTGGTAAAAACCTTTATCTGTAGTTAGTATACAGCAATATAAAGGAAATCTTCATTATTACAAGAGTATTAAAAACAACTGATTTTTTTTTCTTACTTTTGGAAAATCTGAAGAGTATCAAAAGCCTCAAGCTTCTATATTTTAAGAGTGACTACGCTAATAATTAAGTTTGGGGCACCTGAAATAATATATAAAAAATCAGTTAGCAATAAAGAACATCTAAACCAGAATGCTTACGAGCCATATTCAGTAATAGATGATTCCACAAGTCTTTCAATAAACTATAATTTGCTCAATATTTCTCTTTTAATGCTATTGTGTCCAATGCCTGATACTTTATTTGAAAGAAGTTTAAAATGTGTGTTTTGGTTTTACGGTCTACATATGTCTTTACTTACTCTTCTTGAAGCTATTTTTACAAAATAATTTAAGTTTAATACTTTTCATAAAATTGAACAAATGGACATTTAGAAGTCAAGTCTACTGAGATTAAGGTTGTAATAGTGACTGACATTTCCTGGGAAAAGAACATTTAAAAACCATTGAATAAAACCTAGGATGATTATCAATAAGTGTTTGCCATAAATGTATTTATAAAAAATTTTACTGTTTGGGTTATTCTAATGTTTTATAAATGCTTTCTTTAGTAATCTGGCAAAATTTCTGGGCAAAGGAGGAGAAATTAGCAAAACCTGGTATATGGGAATAATTGAAAAATTATTATTACAATTCTAATGGGAAAAGTAAGTTTTTTTCTCTTAAAGCAAAAATTTGGAACATGTGCCATTTCTGAGTGTGATTTCTGATGAAGCTATATCACTTGTTATTGCTATAATAAAACTAATAAAATTTATTTAACTACTACAATTTATTAACCAACCACTGTCTCCTTGATATTACAGATAAAAGTTGAGTTTGCATATTTTTGAGAACTAATCAACAAAGAAAAGTAGGGAAAATGAATAAAACGCTGAAATGTTAGAAGAGGAAAAACAAAAAGGTACAATAAATAGTAAGATGGGTAAGACAGATATTCACAGCCTGAACTGTGCAACTAAGACGTGGTTCTGGGCAAGACACATACAGTACTTAGGCATTTGTTTTCTCATCTTTACAATAAAAAGAATAGAACAGAATATTGTTCTATGAGACCATACAATCCTTCAAATATAAAAAGGGACACAATGGGGTGGATAAAGCTATTAAAATGAGATTACAGAAAAAGGAACTTAGTTTAAGCACATTAAAAAAAACCTTCCTGACTCCAAGGATCTGAAACATACTATTAAGGCAGCCCATCCAGTTTTCTTTTCTGTTTGTATTAAGTTTATAATAGTCAATCACATTAAGATATATGTTAACAATCCTTGGCAGTTCATAAAAGTTGTTTTCTTCTTTCTTTTTACATTACTTGAATGAAATGAAGTAATAATATGTACCATGGCATGTGTTAGAAATTTAAATAATTTTGATGATTTCATGTAAAATGATGAAATCATGTAAAATGTCTGTAAATAGGTAGGTTATCCCTCATACTGTATTACTGAGAGCCTCAGAATTTAAGTAAAATGGCACAATTAAGTTTCATTTTGTCATCCCTAAACTTGTTTTCTCATAAATTGAGCTTAAATTAGATTCTCAAAACAAAGAGCAATCTAGACAAAGGGAGAGAAACTTTCCCCCAAAATCTAGGTAGTAGAACAAAACCTGAAGGTAGAGGGAGAGAAGTATTATATTGTTTCCCCTGTCAACATTTCAGAAATTAAAGGTCAGTTGTATATTTTAACCCAGTCACTATTATACCAACTATTATAATCAAAGAACACGTGCTATAAGTTTATAACAAAAATGCTGTTAGGTCCAGAAGCTGGAGAACTACAGAGGTTTGGCAACTTTGACAGAAACACTGTCATATCTGAAGATTAAGATGAAAATATTAAGCCAAAGAATGAACGATAAGATATGTAAGTGAGGTAGGTACTCAGCATATCAGAATATAACTGAGCATAATACTTCAACATAGGGTATACATTTATATATATATTTTTAAATGATAGTAATTACAAAAACAAAGGCTGAATTACAGATTACCTGTGTAATTTTAGACATCTAATTCCTTTGCTATGCCATATAATAATGGAGCACATCGTAAGGCATAATAAAATTAAAAAGATAAATTCTAGTTGAAAGCTGAATAATAAATAGTTTAATTTATTTCTATGAGAGCATCTAACATATTTAATCTGGTATTCTAAGTAAAATCAGTGTTCAAATTTTGTTTTTACTGCACATTCTTAGATACTTAAAAATCATAACTTAAATGAAATTGTGACAGCAATTTGTAAATGTCTCCACTCCAAATATCTTTATAGATGAGCTATATACTACTTACTATCAAGGTTTTTTGGTTTTACCAATTATATATGGTAGTATATAATTACCTTGTATTTATATATATGAATATATTAAAATATATAAATTAAGTGTATAAATATATATAAAATATATATAAAAACCTAGCATTATATACTAGCATATAACACTCAATTCCTTATAGCCTACTTCAAATAAACTAAATTAGGTTATTTGAAAATGTAAGTTTATTTGAAAATGTAGTGACAGAGAAAGCAAGAGGAAAATTTCCTTTTAAAAGGAAGGATTCATTTCAGTATCAGAACATTATTTTGGCTCAGGAATAATATTCTTTGAAGTAGTGCTTCAGAGATGCATTTTTTGTGGCTTCTTGAACTCACCTAAAGTTTCTGAGATAGGGAGGTGGGTGGGTTGTGGGGGGTGACTGCGGGACGGGCACTGAGGGGGGCACTTGATGGGATAAGCACTGGGTGTTATTCTATATGTTGGCAAATTGAACACCAATAAAAACAAAGATAAAGAACCTATGTTCTAAAAAAATAAAATAAAGTTTCTGAGATAGAGGTGTAAATGAGGTGATTTAGCAAATGATACATTCTATAATAAAACAATATGGACATTTATTAACATAAAAATGTAACATAAACTTTATGTTTTAGTTCCAATAAAATAGGAAATATATTTTATGATAACTTGCTAGCACGTGGTAAATTTTTTTAGCATTCTTGGTATTCACCTTGTAAATATCTACCTCAACTCTGTTTAATCTCAGAGTTAATAGTTGTAGAACCTCTGGTTCAGAGAGACAAGTTCAGTTTGTTGAATCAACTTTCATAAAATAAAATACTATTTACTGAAATGGTGTTTTTTCATACTCAAATAAACAACTAAGAAAACAAATGTTTTATTCCCTTCCAATAATAGCTTACTGATCAAGGGTCCTTTAGATGGATGTGTGTACATATATGTGCGTATATGCATATATATGTAAGTATGTGTGTATCTTTATGCTATTACCTTTGCTTTTTTGCATCTTATAAAATTTCTTGCTCTTAGAAGATATGCCATCATTCTGTAAGAACAGCAGCTCTGCACACTGTATCATAGGAACTGTTATGACATGCCTGTTTCCATAGTAACCACAGCGAGTGGGGAGAGGTGTCTGTCAGGGACCAATTTACTTCTCCAGACACAGGGAGGACACAGTGCCCATAAATCTTAGCTAGGACCAAAAATGGAGCAACAATGAACAAAATAAAATTGTATTAAAAACCAAGGACCATATCAAAAACTGTAACATACATGAAGAGCCATCTATAAATAAATGTGTATGCTTCACCACACACATAAGTATTTTCAACTTGCTAATGATGATCAAAAAAATGATCAAAAAAATTTAAAAATTATCTTGCTGTGGAAAAAACACTAACTAAAGCAGTGAAGTTTATAAGAATACTTAAAATTAATGGATTTAGAGCAAATGCAATTGATAATGCCAAAAATAAGTCTTTGGGATTCTTTGCTTTCTTCAAAAAAATAATGGTGTTCTGGAAATAATTGTGCTAAAATAATAATAATGAACTGAAAGTCTTTAGCAGCTATAGCAATTAAAATCACTGAGAAAGATTTCTGAAAGGCATGATATCTAGAAATAAAATTTCTCTCATTTTAAGGTAAACTAACCAGAACATCTTTAATAGTATGAATTTGGAATCTTTAATAGTGGGAATTTAAAAACTTCCATTTTTAAAAATAGAGCTACAGAGAAATAATTAAGATATCAAATATTTTAACATAGCAAATAAAATGCATTTTTATGCATTTTTGAGACAACTCAAAGCATGATATAATAAGAAATAAAATCTTAAAATAATTCTTACTCTTAAGATAATTCAATTATGGACTGGTTGACAAATAAAATAAATTTAGATAAGAAAGTGTAAGTCTTGACTATTTAGTTAAAAGATTTTATTTATTTATGCATGAGACACACACACATACACACACACACACAGAGAGAGAGAGAGAGAGAGAGAGAGAGAGAGAGAGAGAGGAGGCAGAGACACAGGCAGAGGGAGAAGCAGGTTCCATGCAGGGAGCCTGACGTGGCACTCGATCCCGGGTCTCCAGGATCGCACCCTGGGCTGAAGGCGGGGCTAAACCACTGAGCCACCCGGGTTGCCCAAGTCTTGACTATTAAAGAGTAATTTTCAAAATGTGGCTATTTATTAATTCCAGGTGCTACAAATATGTATTTAAAATTAATTTATGTCAGAATGTACATATACATCTGTGTATCCAATGAGAACTTGGCTAAAACTTTAAATACACATTAACAATTAAAGTAAGGTTGCCTGTGCTCTGCTCATTTACATCTTCTGTGCTTGGAAACAGCTTGTTCACTATTGATTATCCTAAAATCTTCTGGGTTTACCTCTAGAGAGTTTAAAAACAACATTACATAAATGATTATAAAAGGCTTTGAAGGTACTCAATACCTGGGGATTGGATCCATCAAATCCTTCCTCATATATGACGTTCTGGATAAACTGAAGCAGCTTTATGTAGCCATGGGTCAAAGAACTGTGGGTAAGAAGTGGTTCAAATATATAAATGGGCTTATTATACAGGAAATTCAAAATCTAAGCTATAACAGTAAGGAAATAATTAAAATTTATGAGATTATCTAAATATAATATAAAATGAACCAAAATAGTATAATTTAAAAATGTAAAGTCAATACATCGAGGAAATAAGTTACAATGCCTTCTATTCACTAGCTCAGTGTTCTTGATATCATGGGAAGATAAAAATCTATGGAGACTGAGATGGCTTAATTATGTCAAGCTTAGTTACCTCCTAGAAAATTAATGATTTAATGAAGCAACCTACAAGATGAAGCCACTATAGCTTTTCAGTAGTAATCATAGATAATTAACACAGAGTTAATGAACTTCTATGCCAAGTACACCTGAATCAATGTCTTGATCACCTAAGCTCATCTGAAAAGTTTTAATTTTCTTAGAACAAACTGCTAGAATAATGGTAATTTAAAATTTTGATCTTTTAAGGCATATAAAGACAAGTGAGTATAATTTCTTTTGTTTTTAAAATGAAAATAATAAATATATGAATTCAAGAAGACAAATTATCTCTCACATGAATATTAGTATTAATATTACTATTTAAAAATATTTTACAAAAATAGGGAGGCTGGCAGGCTTATTTGGTACAGTATGAGATTGGTGATAATGGGGGCATGAGTTCAAGCCTCATGTTAGGTGTAGAGCTTAATTAAAAAATGTTTTTACAAATGTTATGAAACATCTCAAGAAATTTAGTAACTGTGAAGAACATCTGGTTTAACACTGACTGAGTTTAATATTCTTGATAACGCACTGCTTGCGTGCCATGGCTAAACATTGTTATGATAATGAGGTTCTGGAGCATAGTTATTTCATAGACATTTTAGTTACTGATGCTGTTAAAGCTGTGGGTGTCCTTAAAAATACAGGTGTTTGCTTTACTGTGATCCCAAATAAAGCAACCACATATGCAGAATAAATGCCCTAAAGAAAAAAATGAAATATAACTTGAAGCACACATGGAACATTAAAGAACAGAACAAGTTAGAAAAGTAGAAGACTACTTATTGTGCAAAAACAATAGTAGGTTGTTCAGCCTGTTGCATATCTCTGTAAATGTTTTATTTAACAGCCAGAGCTAGCCCCAAAGTACCTAACAAAAACAAAAACCAAGAGAAAGGAATGTTGTTATGTACAAAACAAATATGACTCCAATTAAAGGCTTTGGCAGTATGGTTATCTCATATAGTTACTTCTCTGTCTTCAGTGAGGGTACTCTGGATTACACGGACACATTTTTCCAGTTTAATGAGTGAAGAAATGTGTCTATAAAAAATGATATTCCATAATGGCACTGATGTAACTCTTTCATAAATATATGAATATATAAATATACATAAACACATAAATATATACAAATAAATAAGTAACATATTTTGTCCCTGCTGGCTCAACTTTCAGAAGGCGGTACTGCTGTTTGAATGCATGTTTTTCAATTCCTATTTGGGTCGATTAGATTTGCACAAGGGGTAAATCTGCTCCAAGGTCCCAGATTATGAAATGAATTTCAGCCAGCCATTTGATGAATGTCAGGATGGGTTAAAGGAGGGTGGATCATGAATATATCCAGTTCATTCTAATCCACCAATAATGAATCTACTCAAGACATTATTTCATATATTACAAAAAGTTTCTTAAGCATTTTTCTTTCTGCCCCAAATTGTTCAATAATAAAATTTGCTTTAAGCACATTGTAGTAAATTTGCTATCTGAGGTACATTCTAGATACCACATACATAAATTACTTCTGAGTTTTTCGTTGCAATTAATCAACACAATCGATTATTTCATATTCTTCCAGTCTGTTAAGGTAACTATATTAGAGCTAAGATTCTCTTCAAAGATAGTGGAGAAGTTTGATAGAACTAAAATAGAGACATAAAGCCAATACATCTTACTCTCTTTCCTTATTTTTTTAAAGATTTTATTTATTTATTAATGAGAGACACAGAAGGAGGCAGAGACATAAGCAAAGGGAGAAGCAGGCTCCTCGAAGGGAGGCCGATGCAGGACTTGGTCCCCCGGACCCAGGATCACACCCTGGGCCCAAGGCAGAAGCTCAACAACTGAGCCACCCAGGGGCCCCCTCTTTCCTTATTTAACACTGACATAAAACAATCCAGTCACCAGCATTGCTTAGAACTTTACAAGTAATAAACTTCAAACTAATTAGATTTCTAGGACAATAAACGTATTGATACCAGATTAAATGGGAAAAAAGCAATACATTCAGGTATATAAATTGATAATAATCATTTATGACACATGGGATTACAACATTTAAAACTAAACTACTTTATATGATATTGCTATTAAAATACTATTAATTTTATGAGATAGTTTTTGCCAGCAATACTTATAAAACTCTTTTACTGATAAAAATATCTTCTGTTGTCATCTAAATTAAAAAAAAAATGAAATCCCTTTAATTCTGAGGCTGTTGTCTTTTTTTGTTGCTGTTCAGCAGCATAGTAACTTATAAATCAGAAAATTTATAAGGAGGCAGAAGGAAATCGAGTTACAAATGTGACACTGTCCTCCTTATTAATGTTTCCAAGCAATGAACAAAGGTTATCAAAGTATTTAAAATATGCTCCAAAGGCAGCACATTTCAAATCATATATACTATTTTACCTTGATTTTCTTAGTTTTCAACAACTTTTATAGTAAAATGATCTAACTTGAGATTCCACAATTTGTCTTTAAAACTATAACAGTACAAAGAATGTGAAAACAATTATTAGAATTTCAAATTTTACCTTTAAAATATCAAGTATTTAAATTTTTTTCTGTCAAGAAAAAGTTGTTCTATATCTGTTATATTACCATGTTTTCTAAGAATAACTTATTTCTTTATATTAATATTAAACATAAGTAAAAGAGGTCTAATGACACAAAATGTAATATATATATATACATATATATATATATATTTTTTTTTTTTTTTTTAAGTAGGTTCCACGTACAACATGAAGCCCCGTGGGCTAGATCAAGACTTGAAGTGAGATCGAGGCAGGCACTTCACCAAATGAACCACCCAGGCACCCCTAAATCTATATTCTGATAATCAAGTCCAACATTTTAAAAAAAAACTGACAGAAAAAAATGAGACTTTTGTACCTATCAGTATCTCCCCTACCCAATTTTCAGCAGGAGGTCTGATAGACATTTACATCAGAGAGCTTCAATTTCTATCAACAAATAGCACTGTTTTTTCTGTGAAAAGTAATTTTTGTCAGTCTCATTAAGAAAGATAAAAAAAGGGGCACCTGGGTGGTTCAGTCCATTGAGCTTCTGATTCTTGATTTTGGGTAGGGTCATGATATCGAGCCCCGCGTTGGGCTCTGCACTCAGTGCAAAGTCGGCTTGTCCCTCTCTCTATGTTCCTCCCTGAGCTGGCATTCTTTTTCTCTCAAATAAATAAATTAATCTTTCTTAAAAAGATTTAAAAAAATCTGTTATAGTATATCTGCTATAGTCTAGTAAATCTGCTATAAGTGTAGATATAGTTGTAGTATACCTAGAAAGGAAATCAAGCAATTAATAAATACCAGTTGATTACCTTGTAGTTTCTCAAACAATGAACAAAAGTCTCAGTGTGATCGAAGAATAAATGTAAATGTAAAATCAACAAAATCTTGGGTAACAAAAGATGAGATTTCATTTGTGAAAATATAAATGATAAAAATAAAATTATATATATATGAAATAACTAGTATATAAGTGAAAATTTTAATCATAGATGATAAACTCTCACAGATTTTTTTTTTTTTAACAAAACTACTTGATTTTAATTTTATCTACTGGTAAAGTGTCTGACGTAGTAAATACTCAAAAATGTTCTGCATCTCTCCCACATTTGATCATTACAATAGCCCTGTGAGGTAAATAGAGTCATTAGCTCCATTTTGTGGTAGAGAAAATTAAGACCCTTTGGAGACTTAGGTGATTTGTTCAAAGCTGTACAACAATTAAGTGACAGAAGAGGCACCTAAAGAGTTTTCTAAAAATTCAACTTATCTGCTCTTTAGGCTAAATTAAAATAAAGCCCCAGAGTGAGATCCAGATTCAATGAAAAGTCTGTGGGTTCAAATACACTAATGTGGCTGTGATGAGGTTTGAACATGACTCCATTCAACACAAAGTATCCAGTGTATAGTTTTTAGAAAGGTATTTTTCTTTTAGTTGCACCTATGAGACCTTCACAAATAGGCCTCATTTGTATTAACTTGGTACATGACATTAAAGACAATTCAAGATGGAAAAATGTAGATTTACAGCATATAAACGAGATAGCAGAATAGCACAGTGGAAAGTATTACCAAGATCTGGGTTCCTGGTCTATTTGTATCAGCAACTATAGCTAAATGTGTGATAATGAGGCAAAGTATTTAATTGTTTGTTCCGGGGCTCAAAGTGTTCTCATGTGACAGAGCTGTACTAATAATCTCTCTTGTCCTTTCGGACTTAAAGTTACAGGACTCAACAATGACTTTTCTTTTTAAGACTGATTTTTCCCATTAAAATGATTAATTGCTGGGTTTTTAAAAATAAGAACTTCTGGTGCATTTAAATATTGATTTAACTACTTGATAAAAATACTTAGGGAAAACTGTTTATCACTCCCAATTAGGATTAATTTAAAATGAATATGAAGTATTTTTGATATTATTATGTAAATCATTGAGAAAATGATTTGTATTACCAAAATTCTATTTACACATATATTTCAAGTATTCATTTATGACAAATAGTGAGATATACTTATAGGGCAATAGGTACAATATCAAATGTCTCAACTAATTGTGTAAAATGGTTTGCAGAGCTCGTTATATTAGCATATAATTTGCATGTGACTATAAAGACTGTGAAGTCTATTCACAAGTAATTTTCAAGTTAAAAATTCCATTACTATTACCCTGAAGGCTGTCACAGATT